AAATCCAAATATATACAATAGATAATGATTCACTCTTGTCTAAGGGTGGGGAACCCACAGCCTTAAGGCCACAGCCTTAAGTGTACTCTTTTGACTGAATCCATATTTTACAGAACAAATCCTTTTATGAAAAGGGGTGGGGCAGAGAAAGTTGAAGCTTTTCTTGCCTTCTTTGGTGCTTAAAAAAGAACAATCTTGAAATCAGAAGGCCACAGGTTCTTTGTCATTGGAGGCCAAAAAGTAACTTTTGGTTCTTTATTACTATGGAAACATAAATATAAATCTCTCTCCTCCTCCTTCTCCTTTCTCTTCTTCTCTCTCTTGATCTATCTAGAGATAGATAGATATTTAGATATATGTATATGTGTGCATATGTGTGGATTCCGTATTCACGCTTGCCGAGCACAAGATAGCGAGATTTCCGAATCTTAGTATGCCAGTCAACGATCAAGGCTACATTCTATAGTAATGATTAAAGTGACTTGGGAAAGACTAGAAAAGAAATAAGAGTTTCATCTTTCTTAATTGACATGTTGCAAGCACCGCTATGGTATATGATTTGAAGTCTTGGGAAGCTTCAGGACAATTCAAACGATGCACGATTCAAATAAAAATTGCTAAAAACAAGTCGGTACTACCCGAGGATAAACGCATCCCGTTTTGCCGTTCCACGCCAGGTGTCCGAGGACGAGGAGGCCGGACAAGATGCCCAGGCGAGCTCCCTGGGGGGCGCTCTCCGTGGTCCTGATGCTGGTCTGGGGCCACCCTCGAGCGGCGCTGGCCTGTCCTCACCCTTGCGCCTGCTACGTTCCCAGCGAGGTCCACTGCACGTTCCGGTCCTTGGCATCTGTGCCTTCTGGGATCTCCAAACATGTGGAAAGGATCAATCTGGGGTTTGTACTGCACTCATTTCTATGTCTTTGCACACGCCTTATTTCGGTTTTGGGGGACATGTATGTTCATCTACTTAAGTTCATGTGAAGTGTGTTTCCTCTGTGTGTCACTCTGTCTGGCATGAGATACTTCCAGATGGGGAGAGCAGAAGGGGACATCTTTTAAGGATACTAAATGCAGCCCTTTCAGACGAGTATCTGAATATTATTCCATCACATGCAACCACTATAAGGTCTATGAACAGAGAATTATGAACAGCTTTAGTTTGTCAAGACATTGGCTTGATATAATAGCATTTCTTTAATATGTTGTTGATTC